AGTGTGGATCTCAGCGCACAGGAAATCCTGAAATTCCATTCGTGATGGAGACTGAGCAGTACTTTTCTCTTCCAATTTCAGAAACCGATGCCTTTCTGGTCATCTCATCCAGATCCAGGGTGAATCTCCCTCCTCTTTAAATCTACGATTGTCTTTGTGGTGTCGTGGATTCTTGCTTAACAAGGAACTATAAGCTGATGCCTTTTGGTCACGTGTCTCTTTCTGAGCAAAGGCGTTTGGCACCTCTTGGGGTAATCTCCGAATGCTGCAGGGTGGGCCTGGTGCCTCTTTTCCCAGCCCCCTGAATGTGTGCCACAGTTCTGATGAAAGCGCTGTCCCTGGTTAGAGCGCTGCTTTTCTTTCCAGCTCTTTGGGAACAAATCAATAGTCTTTGTGACTGTCTCTTACGCAGAGATGTAAAGAGAGATGTAAACTGCCTCTGTGGTCCGCCTTGTTGTTGCTCCCTATCCTAGAGATCTTGAAAACCAGCTCATTATAAGCAAGTGCCATTTGCATTTTTTCCGCTCAAACTCACGCTGTGAGTTTTGTGTAGTGTTTCGTTTTTGAATTAACACCCTGTGGCACATTGGAGCAGCGTTAATTGTTGTACAGCTCTGATGTTTTAAATGGGTTTCTCGTGATTTGGTGCTGCCTGCGCCGCGGCCAGGAAAGCAGCGTGTGCATGCACATACCTGCGGTACTGACTGTACAGAGCTTGAGGCAGTCAGGAATTAGCTCAGATTTGAGGCAGAGGATCTCTCCCAGTGATAATCCTGAGGAAAGCGGAAAGAATCCACCATGACAGCTAATGAGAACATGTTGCTGGCTGCTAGCTGAAACGCCCCTGGCAGTTTTCAGTCTTTTCGTCCTGTATCAACACTGTAGCCTGCTTGCCTTCAGGCCCCTGGTTTATTCGCTGAACTGAAGGTGGTGCGGGTTGTGCCAGCCGTGTACCAAGCACAGCAAGCTGGTAACAGCAGATGAGGAGAAGGCTGAGGTACTCAACAACTTTTTTGCCTCAGTCTTCACTGGCAACCTCTCTCCTCACCCCTCCCAAGTCGATGGATGGCATGAGAGGGACCGGGGGAATAAAACCCCTCCTGCTGTAGGAGAAGATCAGGTTCGTGACCACCTGAGGAACCTGAACGCACATAAGTCCATGGGACCTGATGAGATGCATCCCAGAGTCCTGAGGGAATTGGCTGATGTAGTCGCCAAGCCCCTCTCCATGATATTTGAAAAGTCATGGCAGTCAGGTGAAGTCCCTGGTGACTGGATGAAGGGAAACATTGTGCCCATTTTCAAAAAGGGTAGAAAGGAAGACCCTGGGAACTACCGCCCTGTCAGCCTCACCTCTGTGCCTGGGAAGATCATGGAACAGATCCTCCTAGAAGCTATGCTAAGGCACATGGAGGCCAGGGAGATAATTCGAGATAGCCAGCATGGCTTCACCAAGGGCAAGTCCTGCCTGACAAACCTAGTGGCTTTCTATGATGGTGTGACGTCAACGGTGGACAGAGGGAAACCAATGGATGTCATCTATCTGGACTTCTGCAAGGCCTTTGACACGGTCCCCCACAACATCCTTCTCTCTAAATTGGAGAGCTATGGATTTGATGGATGGACTGTTCGGTGGATAAGGAACTGGCTGGATGGTCGCATCCAGAGGGTAGTGGTCAATGGCTC